TCGACTTTGTGGACTCCGAGTTGCTATTGTTGAGGGATGTGCTGATTTAATTGTTATTGAGCTTATTAGTATTCTTGGAGATGTATGAGTTACCTTCTGTGCTGTGAGGCGTTATGAATTATTGGTTATAGGCACATATGGTGCGGTTCTATTGGGGTCTCATAGTGGAACTCGAGCGGGAAGAGTATGTGGTATTGCTCAGTGGATGGCGTATCGGTTGTGTTTTTTCGGGTTTGTGTGGTGTTATGTCATTTGCTTTTCCGTGGTTATGATGATTTGTTTTGGTACTAGACATCAAATTGCACGTGGTTATTGATTTTGAGCATAGCTACTTGAGGTGTTTCATGTGGACTGGTGTTTGGACAGGGTCGTGCATTGCAGCGAAGTTTTGTGGAAGTATGATCCTTTAGGTTAGATTCGTGTATTCTTGTTCTACGATGTGTGACGGGTTCTCAGCATTGTGTTGTGGTGGTACTGGTGAGCTTGCGATACAACTCTCTCATTTGAGTCATTTTTTCCCATGATTTGAGTACATTTGGACTGTTGCTTATTGGTGCTTAGGTCGCAAGGGTTGTGGATTTAGATTGTATCGATGTGTCACGTCATTATAGTGGTCGTGTTAGATGAGATGAGGTCATTGGGGTCTAGAATGAATACTATCGGATTTGATTGCAGCATGTTGGAAGGATAATATCGGGATTCGGCTTAGAAATTTACTATGGTCCTTGCTAAAGGAGAGGGAGCTTCATGAATGATTGATTTGAGGAATGGTTATGACTTCTTGCGTGTTTCTTTCATCATTGGTAGTATACTAAAGGGTCAGAATGAGACTTTATTTGATAAGAGGTTTATTATCGGTATTTGGTTGTTGTGTGCAACTGTCGTGAGTTGAAGTTATCGCTACGAGTGATTGAGTTATGTGGTATATCATGTAATTGCATCTTGTGTTGTAGAAATGGTTTGCTACAGCTTGTTTGGACTTATCCAGCATATAGATGAGAGATTGTAATATTATAGATAAGTACGGAAATGGAAATTTGGTTCTAAGGTTCATGGGTTTGTTTGGATTGCGAAATTTCAGTTATGTTGCATTATCAGACTTATATGGGATAGGGTGACGTGGGATCACCCTCGGTATGTGCAAGGTAAGGTTACACATTGATTCGATAGTTTTTGGAACAACTCTGGGCACGTTCGAGGGTGAACGCATATTTAAGTGGGGGAGGATGTAACGACCCAACCAGTCATTTTGAGCATTTGCATTTCGCTCGCCAGTTCTCAAGCATGACTAGCCCTGTGTGATGTATGATGACTTATGTAAATCGTCGGTTTTGGTTTTCAGGATAATCAGAATAGATTTGGAAGAATAATTCTCAGTTTAAAGCTTTAAATTTGAAAGGTTTGACCAAGTTTAACTTCGTAGCATTCGATCTCATATTTAAATTTCTATGATTTGGTTAGCTTCGTTAGGTGATTATGGAATTGGGAGTGCGTTCGGAATGAATTTTGGAGGTCCGTGGTAGATTTAGGCTTGAATTGGTTAAATTGGAAATTTAGCATTTTCCGGTCGGCAGTGGAAATCTTTATATAGAGGTTGGAATGGAATTCCGGAAATTGGATTATGTCCGTTGTATCATTTGGGATGTGTATGCAAATTTCAGGTCATTCGAAGGTGATTTGATAGGTTTCAACGTCGTTTGTGGAATTTGAAATTTTATAAGTTCTTAAGTTTGAATCTGAGGTTAATTTGGTGTTTTGGTGTTGTTTTGAGTAATTCAAAGGCTCGAATAAGTTTGAATGATGTTATGGGATGTGTTGGCATGTTTGGTCGTGGTCTTGAGGGGCCCGGGCGTGTTTCAGATTGATTTCGGGCTATTTTTCCTTCATTTTGCATTACTATGTTTGCTAGTTTTGTGGTGTCTCAGATGTTCTTCATGATCGCGGATGGAGCATCACGCTCACGAAGGGTAATTTGGCCAGAGCACAGTTTTGTTCTTCATGTTCGTGCTTTGGTGGTCGCGTTTGCAATATGTTGATGCTGTGTTCTTCGCGTTCGCAAATGGCGTATCGCCTTTGTGTAGTTATGTCTTCAGTATGTATCGCGTTCACGAGGCTTATGCCACGAACGCGTAGAGAATATTTGGGAGCCGATATTTTTCTTCATCGCGGATGCGATGGTTGTCTCGCGTTCACGAAAGAGGAAGCCTGGGCAGCCTCATAAAGTACTCTATTTCGAGGATTTTGGCTATTTTTGCATTTTTGGAGCTATGGAGCTTGGGAGAAGGCGATTTTGGAGGGGATTTTTAGAGGATTGATTGTGGTAAGTATTCTTCACTCAAATTTTGTAAAATCCCATGATTATGTCATAATTTTTATTATTTAATTTGGGAATATGGGGTGAAAATTGGGGAAAAATGGAAGAAAAATTGGAGAGTTTAACTTTGGGATTTGAGGGGCCATTTGAGGTCCGATTTTGATGTTCTTGGTATGTATAGACTCGTGAGAGGATTAGGATTTTAGTGATGTAATTTTTATCGGATTCCGAGACATGGGGCCGGGGGTCGAGTTTGGCTAATTTCGGGATTTTTGAGTTAATTTAATTATTTTCGCTTGGGCTTTGTTCCTTTGGCGTGTATTAATGACATGAAACTGATTTTGGTTAGATTCGGAGCATTTGGAGACCGATTCGAGCGGCAAAGGCATCACAAGTTAGAGTTTTGACTGGTTTGAGGTAAATAATGATGGTAAATGTTGTCCTGAGGGTGTGAAACCCCGGATTTCACTTCGTGGTGCTATCTTGAGGTGACACACACGCTAGATGACTAGCGTAGGGACGTACACCGTTGGGGACTGTGACTTGGTCCGTCATGTACAATTTTTATGTCGCGTATTTGATTGAAAACTATTTTATACTATTGTGTTTTGGAAAGTATTACTATGTTGTGGGCTGAGTGCCATATTTGGGCCTCGTGATAACTGTTTTGGACCCTCAGGGGCTTTTACTACTATTCCTCACCATTTTGACTTAATATTTGTGCTCAGTCATGCTGTGTTTTACTGATTTCACAACTCAATCATATTTACACTATTTTGATATTTTAAATAATATTTTTGGGCTGAGCATCCTGTTTTACTATCGCCCGAGGGCCTTTGTTGTGAGGATATCATGGGATTGAGCAGAGCACCGCAACATGCTGTACTAATTTGTGATATATGAGAGCCCGAGGGCCTGATTGATTATACCACGAGATGGCTTGTTATAGCGCTTGGGCTGTAGGAGCCCCTCTGGAGTCTGAACACCCCCAGTGAACGCAGATACACAATGTGAGTGATGTGATGTTGCCCGAGGGGTTGTTATTGATTTATGTTTTGCCCGAGGGGCTGATTACGAGTGATTGTGAGGTAGCCCGAGGGTTGGTTCTGTTGATATTTTGCCCGAGGGGCAGTTTATGGTTCTTTTTTTCCCGAGGGGCTGTATATGAGCGAGTTTTTGCCCGGGCTGACTATGTTTTCATCATTTCTACTCACTGTTTCACCACTTGTTTGAAAACTGCTGAAAGAAGTTTTAAACGAATTTTTCACATCTTCAAATGATTTCTACTATAAACTAGATTTTTAATGAAATGATTTGATTTATATAATATTTTGGAAAAACAATGTACTTACTGTGGTGTTATGACGTGGATTATGTATTTTCTTATTGCTCAGTCTTTATTTACTCTCATTACTTACTGAGTTGGCGTACTCACATTACTCCCTGCACCTTGTGTGCAGATCTAGGAGTTGTGGGTCACGATAGTGAGCATTGTTCATTCATTCAGCAGGTCTCGGAGTCAACAAGGTAGCTGCATGGTGCTTGCAACCTTGTTCTTCTCCCTCATATCTTCCCTAGATTTATTTAGTATGGTTTTCCAGTCTTTTTTAGACTTTATTGTATTGAGACAGATTTGCAGTTGCTCATGACTTGTGACACCCCGATGTCGGGCTTGTGTATCTATTCTGCACTGGTTATGTAGACTTATATTATGAGATTTCTTGTTAATTAATGGCTGAAAAATGACTTTTATTAAATAATGGTTTGATTCAAGAATTGTGTCGGCTGGAATAGTTTCACGATAAGCACCATTACGACCGGGTCGGTTTCAGGGTCGTCACAAAGATCTAGAACAAAAAATCAGACATCAAAACACATAAAATTTACAATGAAACTCAATAACTTCTGAAATCCCAACCGAGCATCTGATTCCCATCAAATCATCTCGGAATGATACCAAACCTTGCGGAGAAGTTCCAAATAACAAAACGGACTTATTCCAAGTCTCAAAACAACCATCCGAACCTAGTATCCATAAAGACTAACCATAGTCGAATCAACCCAGGGAATTCCGAATTCGATTCTAGGCATACGCCCAAGTCTAAAAGCATGATACAAACTTACCGAATATTAAAACACCATTCTAGTGACGTTTTATAAAAGTCAAACCTCGGTCAACATTTCCAACTTAAGCTTCTGAAATGGAATATTCTTCCAAATTAATCTCGAATTGCTCGAAAATTGAAATTGATCATGCACACAATCCCAAATTGTTCGAAAACCGAAATCGAGTATGCACGCAAGTCATAATATATGATATAAAGCCACTCAATAACTCGAACTACTGAACGGAACTCTGAAGCTTAAAAGGATCGGTCAGGTCGTTACAACTAATTGTTTAATTTACAAGTGAATTCAATAGTAGCATTGCTTCCACTGCGTTATATAATCCAACACCAATTGAGTCAATGGTGATTTTATACTTAATGAGTTTGAAATTTTTAATATTACTGTTCAAATTGTGACCTAAAATATTGGAGGAGGTTGTCGTATTTTTTTGTGTAGACAACCCCATTAAAAGTGGAATATAGAGAAGGATAGCTAGATTATGTAAATAAGAAAATAAGCGAAAAAAGGACCACAAGAAAATATTTTTGAATATTTCCTTTTCCAACATATCAATATGAAATTAATGCACCTTAAGAACCTTATTACTTATGAAAATTTAGAACAAAAAGTCATGGTTCAATTTGCACAATAACAAACATAAATTAGTCCCGATCTGTCTTGTGAACTCTCTCTGCTCCATTATTAACTACTGGAGCTGGCACACAGACGCACTTGTGCGTAGTCAAGTCACATTTGGGATGTCCTATGCAGTTGATTGTGCATTCAATATCTTTGGTGCATTTAAACGCCGCATTGCTTGATTGTCCTAACAATATTGACAATATTAAATAAGCTATTAAAAAGAAAAAAGAATTATTAACTAAAGCTATCATATTCATAATATAAGAAAGACACACAAATTATTTCTAGAGTAAAAGTTGCGAGTAAGAAAGTTATTTCATCATGGCATGCGAAAGGGTAACATGACAATAAAAAAAATGAATAGAGTATTAATTACCTCATAGTTATAAGATAAGTGTGACTATAACCTGGTTAATTATTAACTACTATATAAAATATGTAAATAGATCTAAATTGCTTACCTAGCAAAATAAGCAAAAACGAGACCAAGAAAATCTTAAGAAATGTTGTCTTCTCCATTGTCTTCGAAGTATTGTGGTAGCACTATTGTAGCTATATGACTGCTATTATTGATGTTTTAACTGTTACTTTAAGAATGTATTTATAGGGAAGCAAAAGATATGCACCAAATTTTCAATTGATGACGATATAGTAACCAAGATAAATAACTTTAGGTCATTTCCATAAACTAAAGAAATTAAATCTAATACTATGGTAACACAATCTTATTTTGCAAGAATTACTTTGGAAAGTGAGTCCCTTAATTTCCCGTTGATGTTTGACAAGTAATATAAATTCAGATTCGTTTCTAATAAATTCATTAAAAGCGTCAAACAAATTATGTCCTTCTAACTGCCATAATTGGTAGATAATTATATAAATTAAATCTGAGATTATTTTGACTAAACCTATTGACTCTTTGACGTAAATTGCTCATGTATGAAATTTTGAACTAAAATAACGTTCTTTACTTACTTCTAAAATATTGTTCAAAGTGAGAGTTTTTCCAAGTATGTAAGCTAGAAATATTTAAGAAAAATCATAAGATCAAACCAAACAGAAAATTCAGATCAATTGATTGGGAAAAAAAAACTTTGATTCGTTTGACTTGACTAGATTTCGTGTTAAGTTTGAATAATAATATCAATATATATAAATTAATTTGGTATTAATCAAAAATAGTTGAACCAAAACTAAATATCCAAACCCAACCGAGAATGTGTGTGTATTTTGAATCCTCTACAAAAAAAAAATTAAGTATATCTTATGTTTTGAAAATTTGGTCCAATAATGTTTCCTACTATTAATGGTACTCTGTGAATTACTAACAATGTTTGTGAACCTCTAATAGAGCTAACGAAGTATTGAAAACCGTTAACGACACTCTAAGTACCGCTAGCGGTGCTTTGTGAATTACTAAGGTACTTTTTAAATCCTTAAAGATGTTTTGCAAACTACTAACGATACTTTGTGAATCACTAATGACATGTGCGTCACTTCATAACCAATCACATGACACATAGTTTGGGCTTTAATACCGTCAGAACCAAATTTAGAACTGTTACGTACCTCAATCCGAGCAAGTCTCTACTCTAACACACCTTTGCTTCGCGAATCGGCATCCAAATGTCCCGAAGCTAGCCACAACAATACAATTCAATCAACATGGGCAAAAGGAATCAATTTCACAATAAAATACGAAGTTATTAATCAAAATCCAAAATTGGCTCAAAGCCGGCCCCTGGTCCCACGTCACGAAATTTGACAAAAGTTCAAAAATCCTGGAAGCTCATTCAACCAAGAGTCTAATCCTACAAAATTTTATCAAAATCCTACACCAAATCGTCACCCAAATCCCTAAATCAAACACTCCAAATCCTTAGCCTCAAAGCCCCAACATACACCTCAAAAATACATAAACTAGGTGGGAAAATCAATAAGGACACATAATTATTGAATAAATTTAACCACAAGTGACTTAACTCAAGAATCTCTTCGAAATCCCTCTCACAAATCTCCAAAACCCGACCTCAAAATGTTAGAACTACTGAAAATCTTGGAACCCTCAATTTTAAATTTTTTGCACGGCAATCTCGCTTATACAGCCAATTTAGCCGATTCTGTGGTTTCACAGGAGCGACTCCACACCCGCTTCTACGGTTTCCTCTGAACCCGCAACCCAACCATCCGCTCCTGCGGACTCGCTTCTACGGACCCAACTTACCTCTCTACTTCCGCTTTTGCGCTCATTCGCCGCATCTGCGCCAACACACGTGCAGCAAATCCTTCGCACCTGCAACCACCGCTCATACCTTTCCCAAGGCCGCTTCTACGCTCCACTTCTCGCTTCTGCGAGCTTGCACCTGCGATGAGACTTCGGCAGGTGCGATTACCCCAGCAACTTCCAACTTCAGCAATTCTCTAAGTTCCAAATTTGATCCATTAACCATCCGAAAGTCACCCGAAGTGCCGGGGACCTCAACAAAACATACCAACAAGTCCCAAAATAGGATACTCTCTTAGTCGAGCTCTCAAATCACCTCAAACAACATCAGAACACTAATCGCACAAAGATCCAAGCCTATTGAACTGTGAACTTTCAATTTTTACAAACGATGCTGAAACTTATCAAATTATATCCGATTGATCCAAAATTTTGCACACAAGCCACAAATGACACCACAAACTTACTCCAACTTTCGGAATTCCAAACGGACCCTGATATCAAAAAGTCCACTCCCGGTCAAATTTCCAAAATTTTCAACTTTTGCCATTTTAAGTTTAATTCAACTACGGGCCTCCAAATCATAATCCAGACACGCTCCTAACCCCAAAATCACCCAACAGAGCTAATGAAACCATCAAAACTCCAATCCGGAGTCGTTTAGACATAAGTCAACATCCCATTAACCTTTTTGACTTAAGCTTTCCATTATGAGACTAAGTGTCTCAATTCATTCCGAAATCCATCTGGACCCGAACCGACTAATTGGGTAGGTCATATAACAATTGTAAAGCACAAAATGAGCAGCAAATGGAGAAATGGGGCTACAACTCTCGAAACAACCGGCCGGGCCGTTACACGAATTTTTGATGGTTTGTCTGCATTCACAATTATGACATTTGCATATGAAGAAAAGGGTTGTAAGACGGAATTTTGGTCTCATTTTCATATTTTACAATCCTAGACTCGGTATGAGGCGACTTGTAGAGGGGATTTTTTTACCTACAATCAATAAATATGTGATTTTGATCTTTTTTTTTATAATTATTTTACATGATCATACATGAGATTTAACATCAAATTTATGAGAATCAAAGAGAAATTTTAGGAATTTTTTATATGTTTTGAAAAATGAATTTGGGATTTGAGAGTCGAATTAGACTCAAAGTTGAAAATAAAACATATATATGGACTCATAGGGCTAGGGGTAGTCAAGATCTAGAACCACGAATCAGACATCAAAACACATAAAATTTACAATGAAATTCAATAACTTCTAAAAACCTAACCACGCATCTGATTCCTATCAAATCATCTCGGAATGATACCAAACCGTGCAGAGAAGTTCCAAATAACAAAATGGACATAATCCAAGTCCCAAAACCAACATCCAAAGCTGGTATCCATAAGACAAACAATGGTCAAACCAACCTAGGGAATTCCGAATTCGATTCCGAGCATACGTCCAAGTCAAAAAGCATGATACAAACCTACCAGATATCAAAACACTGTTCCGGTGTCGTTTTTACATAAGTCAAACCTCGGTCAACATTTCCAACTTAAGCTTCTGAAATGAAAATATTTTTTCAAATAATTCCGAATTGCTCGAAAATCAAAATTGATCATGCACGCAATCCAAAATTGCTCAAAAACCGAAATCGATCATGCACGCAAGTAATAATATACGATATGAAGCCACTCAATACCTCGAACCACTGAACAGAACCCTGAAGCTTAAAAGGACCGGTCGGGTCGTTACAACTAATTATTTAATTTACAGGTAAATTTAATATTAGCACTACTTCCGCTGCGTTATATAATCCAAAACCAATTGGGTCAATGGTAATTTTATACTTATTGAGTTTGAAATTTTTAATATTACTGTTCAAATTGAGACCTAAAATATTGAAGGAGGTTGTCGTATTTTTTTTGTGTGGACAACGCCATTAAAAGTGGAATATATAGAAGGAGAGCTAGACTACGTACCTAACAAAATAAGCTAAAAAAAAGACAACAAGAAAATATTTTTGAATATTTCTTTTTCCAACATATCAATATGAAATTAAGGGACCTTAATTGAACCTTATTTTCCAAGAATTTTTCTTTATTTTTATCATTTAAATTATGATTTGGATTAGGGAAGGAGTTGGTTTTGAAGAAAAATTCTAAAATGAAAAATCGTGATTTGAGGGACTAAATAGTATCAGAATTTGATAAATTTTGTATTGTTGAACTCGTATTGAAATGGGTATTCTGTTTTTGTAAAATTTGTCGGATTTCGAGGTGCAAGCCCGGGGGTCGACTTTTGGACCGATTTTTAGAATTTGATCAATATTGAGACTTTATGATCCGGAATAGTCTCTTATGTGTTTTATTTGTGCTTTGAAGTTAATTTGGTTAGATTTGAGCTGTCCGGAGGTCTTTTCACCCGAGAAGTGCATCTTAGAGTATCTGTTTGTCGTCTTTGAGGTAAGTATCGTGCCTAACCTTGTGTGGGGGATTTCTCCTTAGGATTGAGTCTTCTATGCTGATTGTAATCCGTGTACGCGAGGTGACGAGTGCGTACTCGGACTTAATTGTGGATAGTTGGCCTTTTAGGGTTCTTAGGTTTATATATTCACTATGTATGGACTTATTCTTGATATGATTGAGTTCCTGCTTATTAGTTTCGTCTCTACATACTTAGTTGGAATTGTTTGCTTCATGATTTACTCTTATCACCTAATTGTCATCCTGTTTGATTTAATTGAAGAACTTCGTTCCTCTTATCATCATGCTACTTTTTCATAACTGCCTGTGTTATCGAGAGTTATTGCCATCCCTCATATAATTGCCTAGTCTTAAGTACAACTAAGATCACCTTCATTTAATTGAAATTATCGAATATTCTCGTAACTTCCCAACCTTAAACGGAGCTTAGATGACCTATATCTTTGTCTACTTGACTTTATTTGGGAATACTAGACTCCTGTAGTCTTCCTTGTACTTATTTTTTATTTGGGATTGTCACTGCATGTTAGTTTCCCTTTTCGTTGAACCGTTCCCCCTTTATGCCTTTTATTTTTCTTACTGTGGCTATTCTTATGAACTGGTTATACCGATTCCTTGTGATTTGAAGTTTTGGAGTGGATTCACTCGCTATATTTTGTATTACTATCACTGTTGTTGTTGTATTGGTGCACGAGGTCTCTGTCATGCGGTTGTGGTTGTGTTGTGCACGAGGTCTCTATCTTGTGACAGAGTTGCAGTTGCTCGTGACTTGTGACACCCCGATGTCAGGCTTGTGTATCTATTCTGCACTGGTTATGTAGACTTATATTATGAGATTTCTTG